CTGAAGCTGACCAAGACCCTCTACCTCGATCCACCCACTGTCCTGAATGCAGACCTGCTCCCCAGTCTCCCACAGCCCAAACCCAGCTGCTCTGTTCAGATTCTTGCTTGTCTGTGTAGGAACTGAGTTTGTGGCTTAAAAGGACGTGGCATCCACAGGGTGGGGAGAAGAAGCTGGCTACAGAGGATGGGAGAAAAGTGGCCCCTTCTGCTCGTGGTTGGGGCAGCAGGTAGGTTTGCAAAGCTGCCCAAGGAAAGGGCCTTGCCAGCCTGAATAAGCCAAGCAAGAGGGTCTCTCCTCTCCAGCAACCAGGCAGTCTGAGCCCGGGGAGTGTTCACATTGATTTCACAACACTGTGGACCCTCCCCTGTACAAATCACTCCTCGGTGCAACCCCTAACAGAGAGGCCTCGAGCCCAGCACCCCAGGATGGTCAGCAGAACTGATTTAGATGCCTCTTCTTACAAATTTCTATTTTTTCTTTCCTTTCAGTCACATCTGCGTTTTGTTTTCTCTCATTTCCAATGTTTCCCAACACATCATGTTTAGTGAGGTGTTTAAGACAGACTGAGAGATGCCGTTGGAGGCAATGTTTTATAGCACAGTTTGTACACTAGTTTATTGCCAAATTAAAATAAAGATGTAATCTGGCAGACTCGGCCTGCTGCTAAGCCTTGCTTGGGTGGTTTCCTGCACTGAGGCAAGAAGGGGTGGGGACACATGGAAGGAAGGGGAAGCTCTGTATCTTTGTTCTCCCGGCTGCTCGGTTTCCAAATGCAAAGTCACAAAAGCAATGAGCAGAATGTTTGGTTTGCCTCCTGCTTAATTACAGAAATAACAAATAAATAAAGGAGCATGAGATGGTTGGTGCTCCTGGAATAACACCACAGAACTCTTCACGGCATCCACAGTGATTCACTGCTGGTTTGTAAGAAGCCGAAAGGGTGTGACTGTATGTGACGGGGTTACCTTGGCTCATTTGGCACAAACTTTCCATAATGTCTGTACCACTTATTTTTCGGAAAATCTCAGGGCTTTCCAAATGCACAGCCTCACATTCAGAGGCCAAGGAGTCTATCGCCTGTGTCTAGACCACGGAAGTCCCCCAACAGGGCTTTTTATAAGGCAGGTTGCTTCTTTTAGAACTTCAGTGGGTCTCAAGCCTTTTCTCTTCAATTATTCTAGTGGTGGCTGGAGAGTCACATGCTTATTCAAGAAAACTTTTACCTCTTGGCAACCACCTAGATGTTGAAAATCACAGGTAGATTTCTTTATCTAAGAAAAAAATAAGAAAAAAAGGCAAAATATCAAAATATCCTTGTTTTATGGATTTCAAGGGCATTTGGCTATACACATTTCTCTCTGATTAAAAGCTTTTCTTCTCTCTTTTTTTTTTTTTAAATCTGGCTTCCTATGGAATTGATGGCCAGTAAAACTCTATCTTGGGCCAGAAAGGACAATCTGTTCAACCAAACTCTCTCAAGTCCCTTAAAATGCTCACATCAAAAAGCCTCCGCTGAGAGTCCAGACACTCAAGATGAGACGCAGTCAGGGCAGAGCGCCGTGCCCCATGTGGGCTCTTTCCTGTGAGCCAGAGTTCCAGACTGTGTCCTTGGGGCCCTCAAAGCCTCATTCACAGAAGGAGAGAGAAAGCCATGGCAGGGAAATAAGGGAAAAGTAAAGGTGGCTGCGTATTCAAAAGAGGAAGCATGCTTCAAGAGACCGACAGCCAACGACGGAGGAGAGGCGAGGAGGTCTGTGCGCAGGGGGAGCTCTGATGGAGCCGCCACCTCCGTGCTTTCTAACCCACAGTATTTCACCACAGACTGATGGGAAGTAGCACTCGGCAGAGTGAATCCCAGCACTTAGGCCACCAACTTGGCCGAGAGCTCTGTAGCAGCAGTGACAGTCAGACACATTGATGAGCAATACTTACATGGAAGAATGAACGCTCCTGTTTCCTAAGTCACTCACCTGCCAACACCGGCATGGGACCCTCACTGGGGCCTACTGCTGCCTCTCATCAGGGCTAAAAGCTCTGCAACTTGTGGATGATTGACAGCTATTATTTCCATATCACTGGCCCACTGGAGTGACCACACATCTTCTCCACTTGACTTTAGGCCAACTCCACCAGCTAGTGGCTCATCGGATGACTGCACCCCAATCCCCTCATTGCTAATGGACCACTCCTCATTGTGTGATTCAAATCCTGACATATGGAGCCCTTACCCAACCCCTACTTCTGTCAGTGGGTTTCTCATAATTCTTTGTTCCCAGGATCATCTCTCCTTCATTCTCCTCTAGAGAAACAGAGCTTAGCAGATAGGCTGGCTTCTATCCCTTTGGTGATATCTCCAGACATCACCATCCATTTAGTAGAACTCTACTCTGATTCCAGTTGCCTAACTTAGACATGTGATACTAATGAGTGTTTTCCCCTTTGGGGAAAAATCTTCTCAGATTTTTGGTTTGTCAGCTACATACAGAACAAAGATTGTTAAGGCTTCTTCTACCTGTAAAAGGACAGAATTCATTCAGTCTGGTCCAGACCAAGAATTCTATGATATTACCCTAACTGGTCTTCTTGGTTTTGACCTCCTAGTGACACAGTTCATCATACTACTACTGCCAGGTTAATTTTTGTAATCTATAGCTCTGAACACATAAATCCACTGACCAAAATGTTCAAAAGGCTCCTAATTAGAAAAACAAAAATTATTTTTCCTAACAGTCTAAACAGTTCAAAAAAAATAAGATTGGGTCCAGGAGTACATGCATAATTAACTTTCTAAAATTTCAGTTTCAGCCAAATCAACATATTCACAATCCTGTTAACATGAGTTTTCTAACTATACAAACTTACATTATTGTTTATGACATTCCTCTTGTGTAAACTGTGCCTCCCCCCAAAATGAAATATGACATACTCATTAAAGTCCAGGTGAAATCATAAGATCTCCATCTCCTATACTTTGGGCTGCCAGTTTCACAGAATCCATCGAACTCACTCTCATTGGGTATCTACTATGTGTGAATGAAGGCTCTATCTGCTTTGTTAGAACCTCTTAGACTACTTAACTCATGTGTGTTTATTTTCTTTCCCTAGGTTGACTGAATACTTCTTGATATAGCTGTTTTATACCAACAGTGCACCACACAGAGCACGTAAAACAGAGCCTAATCTTTTTTCAACCTCAGTGGAAGTGCACCTGCAATTATACCTACCCACACAAACACATTTTAAGGCAAAGAAGGCTGACCCCAAGTACCATACATGGCTGAGTTGGGGCCATAACTCCCACATGCCCTAAATTCTCCGAGGTAATTCACTCTGCCACTGCGGTCATGGGGCTACTGTCTGAAGTGCTGGCATACGAAGGGTTACATATTTGGCCTTTTCTTCCAACACAACTGCAAAGATGCATAGTTTTCACTCAGCCAGGTAAACCTGGCCCTCACTGTGCCTCTGGCATCAAGGGAAAATTAACCAACTGTCAAATATAATACAAAAGCCCAGTGGATTAAATGTCTAATACTCTGTATTCTGAGCTGCTCAGCTTTGCCTCTGGTAACTGCACCATCCTGGACCAAATGCACGGTGGCTTGACTCCAGGAATGAAATTGTACATTCCGCTGAAAGGGGAGCCAGGCTGCTCAAGAGGAAAAAAATACTAATTGCAAATCTTTTCTATTTTTAGGCTAATGTGATTTTATTTGGCAGTAAGGGCAGCATGAATAAAACTCCAATCCTAAGAATTTTAATTTGCCTCCTCAAAAAATGCTCATGTCAGTTAGAGACCTTGAAAAGTTGCTAGTATCATTCCTGTCTCATCAGGAAGAACCCCCACAGGTCTATACCAGTCCAGATGGATAAAATCCTCAAACACCCTCCTCACTCAGCTAAGTCCAGTATTTCCTTAAATATATGTCCTTTGTAACTTACAAGTCCTCTAAAGAGAATGTTCAGAATGACCTCACTGAACCATGCATTTCACAAAAAATATTCCAATATTTTAGCTATGTTCCTTTTGGCTTTTTTTTAAGGTTTTCTCTCACATGTGCCTCTGTATATTTTGTTTCTTCTAGTTTTAATCTGATTGTATTTGCTGTTGCCAGCCTTATAGTCTACCTGAAAATGTAAGTTCCTTAAAAGCAGGGGCTATATGTATTTTGTAACTGTAGCCTGCTAGGCTTCTCTGTCCATGGAATTCTCAAGCAAGAGTACCGGAGTGGGTAGCCATTCCTTCTCCAGGGGATCTTCCTGACTTAGGGATTGAACATGAGTCTCCTGCATTGCAGGTAGATTCTTTAACATTTGAGTCACTAGAGAAGCCCATCTGCAGTATAGAGTACATGATATATTTTACACTATTTATCCCATAAAATACATATACATATTGCCATGCACTTGCATATACACATAAACATACAATAAACATAACACACTTATAACATACAATTGCATAACATCAATCAATGACTTCTTAAAAAATAGGCTTATCCTTCAGCCTAACCACCAAGAGCAGAAAAGTCCTGGATTACCTGATTCTGAATGTCATCTATGTACATTTCTCTCACTATTTTAACAAGTCGCTAGCTACTGCTCTTAACTCTTTCAGAGCCATCCTGCCCTTTAAGGCTCTGAGAAAACCTAGGGCGTCCTTTGCAAAAAATGATTATATCTCACACACACAAAACTGTCTCAGATTCCATGGGGGTCGGGGGCTGTCGATGGACTGAAACTTGCAGGTAAGAACTGCTTCTCCACAACATCTTCCTGATGGTCTAGCTTTTCCTTTGCATGCTGTTGCAGACATCTACACAGCTCAGACAAGCAGCCTGAGATCCACATTCCTGCTCCTTGCCCCAGAGGCACAGGGTTCAAGCTCCTGCACATAACAAACCTGACCACTGATAAGAAATACAGAGATGACTAAGTGGTTGCTGTTCCCTAGGACAACCATGCACCACTGTCTCGAGCAAGGTGATCACACTCACCTTTTGGTCTTGGCTGTATGCCAGAATCCAGTCCTCTTGTTTGGGGTGGAAAAGTAAGCTCTGGATGTAAAAGTTCAGCCGGTATTTTTGATAGGTTGCCCCTTCGTCCGAGCTGATCAGTAAACTGCTCTCAATCTCTGGGTCTGTGAGCAACATAATCTGTGGCAGATTATGGAAAAGAAAACAAGAGAAAAGTAAATTTACAAAGCTTAAAGATGAGCTAAATTTTTGACAAGAAAGGGAGAAGGAGCAGGTGAAGAACAGTGGCCAAACAATGAACTTGACTGTCAGATTCACTCTCCTGAAGTGGACCAAGGTCATGAAAATGTTTTCATCAAGAAATGAAAGAGGTAGGACAAGTTAAAAGCGGGGTTGGAGGGGTGAGGGGGGGTGGTGGGTGGGAAGAAATGGAGGAGTGAGTTTTCTTTCCTCCAATAGGGCTCCTTGACCCCCCCCAAATGTTATTTCCTTAATCTGAAATATTTTCTATTATTCTCTTGACCTCAACCCACATTCCTACTGAGCCCTGTCTAGTCTCCATTTGGAGGGATGAGAGAGCAAGACCTGTCACAGGTATTTGTGAGAAAGGTGGAAAGGAATACCAATAACCATAGGATTGGAGTCCATTAGATTTTTCTCTATTACAAGCCCTTCTTAATAGGGTTCACATGGGTTCTCACTGACAAGATGGCTCATTATGTCGACCTCGCAAACCAAGAATGAATCACAGTGATCCTTGAGAGTGACCAAATTGCCCAAAGGGCATCCTGTTATCTCACTGGTGCCTATCTTCTCAAAGCTGCGAGACCACCAGATTCCAGACCTCTGGCTACGTGACCATTCCTTTGGAGAATTTTTCATTGGTGGGGACTCCGTCAGAAAGGAGGACACTGTTTCTCCTTAAGGGCCAGTCACCCTCTCTTTTCCCTCTAATAAATCTTCCTTTTCTTGCCTGACTGCCCAACTTGCTCTCTTTTTCTCTGCACTTGGCTTACACTTCTATTCATATGAACAATATCCACCATCATCCTGCCTTTAGCCTGGTTTTCTGAATCTTGAGTCAAAGGCTGTGTATTCAAATGCCTTCTCTGAGTGTTTATTTGTTGTCTATATACTTTCTTTAGAAAATAAACTCCATGAGAATAGTGACACTTGACATTTCTCTGTTTTTATCCCCCACAGGTATATTCCCAGCAACTAGAATGAGGTCCAGCATATATTATATATTCAATAGATATTTACCAAATTAATGAACACGAGTTAAAGGGATGGATGAAAAGAGTTTTCAGAGCAGTCACAAAGACTTATAAAAATGCCCAGAACAGTTTGAACAGATACAGTGGAAGTTCCATGGAAAAAAGTCATTGAATGCCCTGTCCATCTCTAGCCTTAGACATGAGAATACGCTAGACTCATGTAAAAAGCCACAGCTCTGAAGGCTTGGGATTTTCTCCTTTTGAGGGTTAACCTTGGACAGAACAGTGTGAAGAATCCACAATGGGAGCAAGATGCAGGAGCTGCCCTGTAAACTGCTTTTTATTCTCTCATTTTCTGCCTCTAGGAATGTGATAAAGTACCTCATTCCAGACTCTGCAGGTTGCCTTTCACTCAGTCAAAGTGCGCACCTAACGCCTCCAGACAGGTGGCCTTAATGCTACCCACTGACTTCTTCCCCATCAACTTATTAATTGGCACTCTCTGCGTTTGGTTCAGAGAGGCATGAAAGATGTGCTTAATGTGTGGCCGAATGAAGAGAAACCTCCGCAGCCCAGGGTTTAAAGATTACCAGCTGAGGATGCTGCAGCTCCAGGGAAAGGAGAGACAGAGAGAAAGAAAAAAAAAAAAGAAAAAACTAGAGCCCTGTCATAAAAGAGCAGAGTGTCAGGCAAACACACAGCGCTTTCTCAGGCATTGGAGACAATCATATTAAAACCTCAAGATAGTTAGTGTCATCTTCCAAAGACATGTCCTGTCACGGCAAATGGCACACAAGGACTGCACACTAGACACACTCAGCGGAATGTGTTTATGTTATCAAGGATGGGTTTCAGGTTCCTTGCTGTTTTTCTCCCTGCCCTTCCTGAAGAGGAGAAAGGGATGTGGTGGAATGAGCGGAACGCCAAGGCTGTCAGCCCCTGTCTGGACAAGCTGGAGAGCACACACAAAACTCGAGACTAATTGCCTCTCATCCTATGTTCCAGGGAAGCCACTGTCCATGGACCATAAATCCTGACAAAGTTATAGGTTTCTCTGTCTTGCAGTCACCAAACAGAGGGATGGCTGGTGTGGAACCAGCCGATAATCTGCTAAGTACAAACTTCCGTGCCATCATTAAAGTCTATTGTATGCATTAAGCAAGGACGATCAGATGGTTCCTAAATTCACAAGAATATTTCCAGGTGATTTCCTATTTACTGGCACATAAAAGCTGTCATTTTCTAAATAACAAATAAGTTATCAAATGATCATATTGCTTTGTGTCTCCAACCACAATTAACAATAATATATAACAGCCTTTTTACACTACTGCCAACAAGTAATTTCCATGATAATATGAAGAGGTTCAATTTTATAGAGCATCTATTGTCTCAGGCAAGGTGATTTTCCCCCTCTGATTTTCTATTTCTCTGTAAACCAGAATATGTTTACTCTTCCCACGAGTGTGGATCTTACCACCTGCTTCTCCTGGAAGACTACTTCATCAAAATAAAAACCCTGGGCCTACAGAATATACTGATATCAAGTTGCTTTTTGCTTATCATTTATATAGTACATTTTGGTACTCATTTATTCTCTGAGTCATGTGTATGAAATATTCTGTATCCAAGTAACATGGGATGGGAGAGGTAAAATGATGCAAATATTTTGAAACATATGGATATTTAATATTGAATAAATAAAACTCCTGTTTTCCGTGTTTTTTCTTCTGGGTATGAAAAATATGTAGGTCAAAATCTCATGATTTCTATACATTCTTACATAAAACCCTCTGTTTGGGAATTTGACACTTCAGATATTATAGTAGATGTCAGAAGATCCCTCAGTGAGAATTTTAGATGTATCTGGACTACACAAACTTTCCAGTGGTTCCTCTTTCAAATCTCTGCTTCAATTTACTCAAAACAAACAGGTCAGTCTGGATCCATTTTTATTTAGTCATTTTTGTTGCAAAAACAACTTTGTAAGACTGCCAGTAGAATTCAAAATAAATGAAAAATGCATGGACCCTATCCCTTCAACAAGTTAAATGATGTGCTCCCTTCTACTACTACTATATCCACAGCTACATATCACATCATGGATTTAATTTTTCACTGTTTCCCTTCTTTTCATTTAATATTATTACCTATATTCATTTCTACTTGAACAATAAAATTACAAATGCATACACACACATTAATTAATACACACCACTGTATACAGCGTATTTCAATTAGTTAATCACAACCTTCAACATAATTAGCTTACAACTGATTCAGTGGTTGAACCATAGAAAGCACTTGATGAACTATTAACTGGATTCAGTTCAGTTCAGTTCAGTCGCTCAGTCGTGTCCAACTCTTTCTGACCCCATGGACTGCAGCACGCCAGGCCTCCCTATCCATCACCAACTCCCGGAGCCTACTCAAACTCACGTCCATCGCATTGGTGATGCCATCCTACCATCTCATCCTCTGTGTCCCCTTCTCCTCCTACCTTCAATCTTTTCCAGCATCAGGGTTTTTTCCAATGGGTCAGTTCTTCGCATCAGGTGGCCAAAGTATTGGAGTTTCAGCTTCAGCATGAGTTCTTCCAATGAATATTCAGGACTGATGTCCTTTAGGATGGACTGGTCAGATCTCCTTGCAGGCCAAGGGACTCTCAAGAATCTTCTCCAACACCACAGTTCAAAAGCATCAATTCTTTGCCGCTCAGCTTTCTTTATAGTCCAACTCTCACATCCATACATGACTACTGGAAAAACCATAGCTTTGACTACACAGACCTTTGTTAGCAAAGCAATGTCTCTGCTTTTAAAATGCTATCTAGAGAGAGCGTGAGCGGGAGGCGGAGCCGGGGGAGCTGCTCTCGTAGCTCCCCCTGGCCCTCGGCCCAGCTGCTCGAGGGGGAGGAGTTACCGCCGCTCTTCGGCATCAGAAGTTCCCATGATGGCTGTGACCTAACATCCTCAGGAAGCCCCGGGGTCATGGCCCAGAAGCACCCCGGAGAAGGAGGGTTGTGTGGAGCCCACCACAGTGGTGGTGCCTCCCTCAGGTCTTTAGGACCCTCTGTGGACCCTGACATACTTTCATTCTCAGGACTCAGGGACTCAGCGCGGCCTGCTCCTAATGGTACCCGCTGCCTCACAGAGCACTCTAGTCCTAAGTACACACAGCCCCCAACTCCAGCCCACTGGTCGGATCCAAGCCATGGACCCCCAAGGGGTCCAGGACCCCCTCTGGCTGGAGAGGACCCTGATCAGAGTGAGGCATCTTCAGAAGAGTCAGGAGTGGACGAGGAACTCTCAAGAGAGAATGAGGCTGGATACCAGGATGATGGGAACTCTTCTTTTCTTTCCATTCCATCTACTTGTAACTGCCAGGGAACCCCTGGAATCCCTGAAGGGCCTTACTCTGAGGGAGGAGATAGCTCTTCTAGCAACTTTTGCCACATTGTACCTCTCCAGCTTTGGGGGAAGATGAAGAGTTGGAAGGGGAATATGATGAAGAGGAACCTCTTAAGTTTCCCAGTGATCTTTCACGTGTGCCCAGTGAAAAGAAACCTGCACCCCAGAGACAACGGCACCGTGTTCCAGCCAAGGAGGACACTCAGGAGGGTGGACGAAGAGATCCCAGATCCCTTGGTCGACATCGGCTGGGCCGGAAGCGGAGTCAGGCAGATAAACGCAGAGGACTGGGATTGTGGGGAGCAGAGGAACTGTGTCACCTTGGACAGGCAGGCTTCCGGTGGCTGATCGAACTGCTAGTATTAGTGGGGGAGTACGTGGAGACTTGTGGCAAAAATGAAACTAGAACACTTTCTAACACCATACACAAAAATAAACTCAAAATGTATTAAAGATCTAAATGTAAGACCAGAAACTATAAAACTCCTAGAGGAGAACATAGGCAAAACACTATCCGACATAAATCACAGCAGGATCCTCTATGACCCACATC